TTCCTCTCAGGTCACAGAAACCAGTGCTATGGCCTGATCCATGGGTGTGTCCCAGCCCCACTCCCACTGCAGATGAGAGCTCTGTACCACAGCTCACCGAGCATCCATGTGTCTGCTATTACATGGACTTAGAACTACACTTATCGAGTTTGCTTAACATGATTAGAAGTTTGGGTAGATTTCCTACTTTGAGCGATCATAAATGGTGCAGGGAAAGAAAAGCAAGACCTTCTGCTCCCAATAAAAGGAATTACTGTGTTAACACAGGAAACCAGGAATTGTGGTGACTTACTGAAGGGAGCCCCATGCAGCTGATGGTACTGGGGGTTCAGGCACATAAATTGGAGAGGCAGCTGAGCACCCATCAGCCAGAAGGTCACTGAATCCATCTCCTGGGGACATGCCTCAGATCTCACTGTCTGCAGCAAACCACCAAAATTTGGGAAAGCCCCTCTGGCTGCTGAACCAGCTCATGTCTGTGTTGTGAAAGGGCACTCAGGTTTGCTGAGCTGGATGGAGGCCACTGGAGACATCACTTCCCTTTTCCAATGCTCATATTAACTGGGGACATGCTGGCAGTCTGCCAGATCAATAATAAAATTTGCCAAGACATCAGCATCAGCTGGTGCTGATGGGGCTTGTCCAAATCACGAAGGTTTTCAGACCACTGGTATCCATTCTTCTCCTGCTCTCCCTCACAAGAGGCTTCAAGGAACATCCAAACTGCCTCTGTGCTCCCACCACTGCCATCCCTCACTTCTGAGAAAGCAGCAGATCTTTGCACCTAATTACAGACATGCTGGATTTCAAAACAGTAAAACCTTGACCCCAAAACAAAGCCTAGAGCACCAAATTTGCATATACTGTGTTAAAATAACACCTGAGGGCTGTGAAATGACACTTTACACGGGAAATGTCAAGTGAGGGCTGCTCAGGGCCACTAGTGTACCCAGGGCACTCTGACTTCTTCCAAAGGATCCCACAGCAACAGGACAGACACCGGGTCACAAATGGGAGTTGTGCAGAAAACAGACATTTCCTAGTGGTCTGAAGCTTAGTCCTGCACCCTAAATACAGGGAGACTGCACTGGTTTTGGCTGGGGTAGAGTTAACTGCCCTCATAGTGGGGCTGCGTTTTGAATTTTTGCTGAACACAGGGTTGATAATATAGAGGTGTTTTTGTTATTGCTGAGTGGGGCTTACACAGGGCCAGGGCCTTCTCTGCTTTTCCTAAGGCCATGCTGCGGAAGAACTTGGGGTGCATGGGAGGCTGGGAGGAGGCACAGCCAGGACAGGTGACTCAAACTGATCAAAGGGGTATTTCAGACCACATGACATCATACTCACTATATAAAGCTGGAGGGAAGAAGGAGCTTGTCTTCCCAAGTTGCTGTTCCATGGGATGGGGTCCTGCTCTCCTGGAAGTGTTGAATACCTGCCTGCCCATGGGAAGCAGTGAATTAATTCTGTTTTTCTTTGCTTGTGTGTGTTTTTAGTTTGATTGCTTTTGGTTTCCCTATTGAACTGTCTTTATCTCAACCCATGAGTTCTCCAGCTTTTACCCTTCAAATTCTCTTTCCAATACCTCTGGTGGGGGAGTGAGGGAGTGGCTGCGAGGGGTTTGGGTGCTGGCTGGGGTTAAACCAGGACAGAGATGTATAAATCATAGAATCCCAGAATGGTTTGGGTTGGAAAGGACCTTAAAGCTCATCCAGTTCCACCCCCTGCCACAGGCAGGGACATTTTCCACCATCCCAGGTTGCTCCAAGCCCCATCCAACCTGGCCTTGGACACTTCCAGGGATGGGACAGCCACAGCTTCTCAGTGTAACTTGTGCCAGGGCCTCCCCACCCTCACAGGGAAGAATTCCTTCCTAATTTCCATTCTAAATATACCTTCTTTCAGCTTAAAGCCATTCCCCTTTGTCCTGTCACTCCACCATTACCTGATCTAACATCCTCCATGGGATGTCACTTCCCAGTTTGTTACAGGCACTCTGCCATTTCCCAAAATGCATCTGGCAGCTGCAACAGGAGACAGTGAAGGGCAGGATGGTCTCATGATCCAGCCTGACTTTACAACACCTTCTCTGCTTCCTTAGAGGATGGGACCAAGGTCAAGAGGGGCACAGGAACCCCCCAATAACTCAACGGATCACCCAGCACCCAGGACAAGACTTGAAAAAATCATGTTTTCAAAAATGAAGTATTTTTCTTTCTAGAGAATTGCTTCACATGAAACTCCACAGCTACATCTCTCCTTCTCCATATTTTATTTTTACAAAGGAAAAAAAAAAATCATAGCATAACAAGAAACCACCAGCAATCAATATCTCCAGTGTGGTACACAGCAGACCAGGATGTGTCCTGGGAAATTCATCTCCCTCCCAGGTAAAACATAGGTGTTACTAACGCTGCAGTTTGCTCTGCTGTGCATATCTCATCCATCAAGAAGGAACTGGAATGGGGGGATGTGAGTTATTATCTCCTCATAATAATATGGGAGATGCTCAATGGACTCTGTAAAGCTGCAGAGCTCTTGCTGGGTGTGTGCTACTGGCAGGACTCTGCTGAGGATGCATCCACACAGGATCTTGCTGGGCAGAAAGGCAGGATAGATGGCTCCAAACAGGACAGGTGAGCCTGAGCCGCTCCTGATGTAACACCTACAATGTCCTCTTTCAGCTGTGATAGCACTCCAGCAACAAGGCCCAAAGGGCACAGCCAACAGCCCTGTCTGAGCTGCCTCTGCCCTAGGACAGGACTAGAAATAAAGCAACTTCTCCTCAAGCCCTGCTGAACCTTCTTCCTCCCTCCGCAGTTTTCCAGGAACAAAGAGAGATCAGATTCACTGTAATGCTCCCCGCAGATATTCACTGTAGTGCTCCCTGCACACACATAAAGGCCAGGACACCTGTAAAGCACTGTCTGACAATCCATTTCCCATGCCAGAGCACTCCCACAGCTTGTGCAGGATTTCCACAACTCCCAGCCCCCACAAAGTCAGAAAATGGGGAACAGCTTCCAACTTCACCAGCCTGTGGGACAAAATCCACTGCTTTCCTCCCAACACAACTGTTCTGAAACCACCAAGACACAGTTGCTTGTTCTGTCATTATCCCCATTGCACGTGCAAAGTGCTATGCACAGTGCCCAGGCAGGCATGAGATGGGCTCCAGCAGCTCGTCCTCTGGCCCCTCTCCTCCTGGCCAGGTTTTTCACTTCTTCACCTCAGCAACAGGTGCATTTCACTGTCTCCACATGTGGCTAACACCCAGTTTCAGGTTCTTTAAGCAGTAATATTCAGGGTTTAGAGGTGGCCTGTTCAGGGCTTGGAGTTTTCCTTCAGCCTGGCAGTAGTTCAAGATTTCTGCACAGGTGGCAGCCCAGGAGCTGGGGAAGGCCTGGGGAAAGCTCAGAGGAGCTTCCACAAAGGTGCACCTGGGCACTAGAACTAATCCTCAAGGCCTTGAGCACCATCTCCTGGTCATTCATGGATTTAGTGGCAACTTAACCTCATCGCTTCCTCCATGTCACTATCCCTGCAAAGCTTGAGGGGACAAACCATACATGGGAGCCCTTTAAGACGTGCAACACTTCAGCAGGGTTACTCATACACTGCCACACATGCAAAATGCCATGAGCTCCCCCAGCCCCTCTCCTGAGAACTCTGCTGCTCTCTTCTTCCTTCCAAGTTTTAAAGGGAACAAACTCTCACACTGGCACAGCCACATTGGCACGCTCCTGTGCCACCATCTCTGCCTGGTGGCATTGAGCAGCTGGTGCAAGATGCTTCTGGAAAGCTCCAATCTGTCCCACTCCTGTGCTGCTGTGGCTCTGGGCAGCAGGATGCAACAGGCACTGCTCACAGCCCGTTCCCGGGCTCCGGGATCCAGCAGGATCACCACTCTGTGTGTAAATATCACAGTGGCAGGGTTCAACCTTTTGGCATCAGGAAAAGGAAGATAAATGCTACCAGTCCCCTCAGAGCCACAGGAACCCTGCATCTAATTGCACTTCCTAATGGATTCAGCAAGCCATTAATTATCAGATTATATTTTAGGAAACTGTAGATAAAAAGCTTTATGAAATTTAGTCTGAAAGGAACTGGTGTGCACAACGAAGCTGTTGCATTATGCCAAACTTTACAGCAGGTACTGAGTGCATTTTACAAGGCAGTGCCGCATGTGCCAGGGGAAGTCATGCACTCATAGCAGCTATCCCACGCTCCAACACCTTCAGTAGTGCCACACCATAAGGGACACTGGCACACAGGCACAGCTCCTTCCCTTTTTTCAGAATGTCCCTGCTGAATTAGAGGGTGGTGGCAGATCTCAGGGCTGTTTGCTCACAGAAAAGATGGATATGCCCAGACATGCCTGGGACCCTCCTTCCTAACAGACCCACAGCAAAAACACGGATAGGATCAGATCTGTGTGGCACAAGGTGCCATCCAAACAGTACTGAAGTAATTTAGCACAACTCCCAGGAAGTCTCTACTGGAGAAGAGAAGCCCAAAGGTCAGCTCTTCAGCTCTGTGCTGGAAGAGCTCTCCAGCTGCACAACGATACAGGTGAGAGCAGAAGGAACAAAGCAGCCCTTACACCTTGCAGAAGAAGACAGCTGTGAGCACATCACTGGTTCAGCCATAAAGAACTCCAACCTAAATTCTCAGGATAGCTCTTTTTGGTTTCCCATATCCATAAGCCCTAGCTCTCTGTTCACAGCAGTGGAGGAACACACCTGATTCCCATTTTTTCCTCTGCTGCTTTATTTCTCATGTGTTGGAGATGAGTGTTCTACCAGCGGCTGACTGCAGGGAGATTTCTCAGGCAGTGAATGTCTATGAACCTCCCCGGTCCGTGGTTATGCTGTACTTGCTGCATACCTGGGATTGCTTTCCCAAAGAAGCCCCAAATCTCCCAGGTGGAGCAGCACACTGAGCTCCTGAACAAGCCTAGGGGATACCAGGTGCCAGGCACAGGCAACCTCCCCTGTCCCTCACGTGATTTCTTCACACATCAGAGTGACTGTTATCAAACAAATTCTCCACAGTCACTGTCACCACCTCAGAGCCAGTTTGGCTCACTTGGGATTTGGGCAATGTCACAAGTTTGGCATCACTGAAAGAGATGATGTGCTCTGCTGCTCCTTGTTCCAATGTCTGAGTCACCTGTGTGGAAGGAAGATGACCAAGAGTCAGACATGTACAGCACCACTTTCCCCTGGGTCCCTTTGCTGCTCACACCTTTCCCAGCCTCAGCTCAGGTAATAACATTTAGCTTTACACTACAGCTTCTGCAACTACAACAGGCATGAGACTAATAGGAAACACCCAACCACACACACCAATGATGCAAAAGAAGACAGGAGAGTAATTTAAATATTTCTCTCCACAAATTGCTATAATTTAGCTCCACAAGCAATCGTAGACAGTAAACATTCTGTGATTATCTACTGAAGGAATGCTGTCCCAGGGAATCTTGCACACTGGACTCCCTCATCTAAGGAAATCTTCTTGACTGATGATTGAGATATTGAAGAGGATGAGGCTGGGTTCAAACCTAGCACTAGGCCTCCAACAAAACAGCTGCAGTGTCACGGGGCGTCACTGAGATGTTAATAACACCTGAGTAACAAGGCACCTCCACACACACTGCCAATCCTCCTCCTCAGCTCCTTAAAGTCATGACTGAGCAGCTTTCCCTCCAGCAAACCCACTTCATGCCAGCACAGAAATCCCAGAGTACTGTGGACTGGGGGTTTGCATCACAGACCCCGCCAAGAATGCGAAATCATGGAGCAGAAGGGGCAACAGGGTCCACAGGGTGGATTTGGGAAGAACAAGAGCGTGGGAGAGAAGGATGGGTGAATAATGCAGTGGCTGTGACACAGAGCCGTCCTTATCTGCACAATCTGGGCAGTGGTGGCTTGGGAGAAGGTCACCTTGGGATGCTCAGTGCTGAGGTGCCCCTCCAGCTTGCCCTGGGAGGGGAAGAGCTCACGATGAAGGCACTGTCTGTCGGTGCGCAGTGCTGGCTGGTGACGTGGCTCCGCAGGGCCCCGGGGAGCGGAAGGCCATGAAGCAGTACGAGCAGCACAGCGGTTGGGAACCTGTGGGAGAAGCACTGTCCCAGTCTGGCCTGGGACAACCAGAGCCAGCCCGAGAGCACAGGGAGCTGCAAGGCCAGGGCACACAGGGCTGAAATCCAGGAGGAACTGGCATGTGCTAGTGTCCCTTCTCCTGGATGTCAAACAGTTTATGGCTGCTTGGGTTCATTTTGGCTCCCTGCAGGACTGGCATTAAGAAGCCCAGCTGGTTTACCTGCAGCTGTGGCTGTCCCTGCTCACAGGAATCCCTTCTTCCTGTTCCCTCACACCATCCAGCACTGTTCCTTGCTGGCCTAGCTTGCATCTCCTGATCCAGCTATTCCAAAATCATTACCCAACTCAGCGGTTCTCCACTTTCAGAGTGAAATTTTTCTAGGTCTTCCTCATTCTCCAGGCTGCTGTTGGCTGCCCCCTCCAGAGTCTCCTGATTTATATTCTCTCCTGCTATCCCATGCTCTGCCGTGGGGACCCACCATTTGTCATAGCCTGGCCTGCCAGTTCACTCTGCTCTTACAGCTTGCAAACTTGCCAAAGCAGGGAACTGGATGATTTTTGAAGTCCCTTCCAATCCAAACCATTCTACAATTCTATGATTCAAAGGGTCCTTGACATGGTGTCCCCAAGCCCAGGTTTGTCTCTCATCTTTCTAGTGCTACACTCCCTTTTTCTTCAGTCTCCCACTAGCTATGTAGACAAACCCAGTGCTTGGGGTTCCACCCATCATCTCCTCATGCTGTTGTGTCCACACTTACACTTTGCTCTCTTCTCTACTGTAACAATCAAACCCATAACTTTCCATGATTCCAGTAGGTCCAAAAGCTTAACATGTCCCAGCCTCACCAAAGCCAATGTTTTTCCAGTTCATCCTCACTTTCTGTTTCTTCACACTTTTTCCTTACCATTTCCCTCTTCACCCTCCTGTTTACATTTCAGATGTCACTAAGAGGAACCATCACTGCTCAAAAGGTAACCTGAACAGCAGCAAAGGTGACAGACCTGAGTGCCTGCACTTCACGTGAACCTGCAGGAGAGCCAGTGTGGGGACCAGCTCCATGCAAGACTCACACTCACGGAACTTCACATCTGCAAACAAAGCCAAGAACACAAAAACATGCTCTCAGGGTCTTTTACAAGAGACCTTTTTGACCACAGCTCTCTAGTATTTCATCACCACCACACCTGCACATAGGCATGAGGAGCATTCTCAGAGGAGCAGCCAGGAGCAAGCAAGCTGCAAGATGCTGAGATGAGCCAGAAGAGACTACTACAGTTCACAAGAATCTACTGTGACTTGCAGGAAAACGGGATGTGCTGCCTTGTGCTATCAGAGTTATTACTGCATCAGTCTCTTCTCCCACATAACAAGTGATAGGACAAGAGGAAATGGCCACAAGTAGCACCAGGGGAGGATTAGGCTCTGTGCTCTTCCATATTTTCATAAATGACTTGGAGATAGGACTGAAAGGAATATGAAGCAAGTTCACAGAAGATACAAAACTGGGAGGAACTGTTGTCTCCCTCAAAGGCAGGGAGGCCCTGCAGAGAGACCTCGACTAAACAGAGGACTCATCACCAACCATGTGAAGTTCAACAAGAGAAAGTGCCGGATTCTTCACCAAGGATGGGGCAACCCTGGATGTGTGGGTGGACTAGGCAACAAGAGGCTGGAGAGCAGCTGCAGGAAGGGACCTGGGGTCCTGGCCAGCTGGATCTGAGTCAGCAGTGCCCTGGCAGCCAGGAAGGCCACCCGTGTCCTGGGGGACATCAGGGACAGCATCGCCAGCCAGGCAAGGGAGGGGATTGTCCCGCTGTGCTCTGCAGTGGGGCAGCCTCACCTCGAGTCCTGGAGCAGATCTGGGCACCACAAAGTAAGAAAGATATTAAACTATCAGAGTGTGTCCAAAGGAGGGCCATGGCAATGGTGGAGGGCCTTGAACAGAAGCTGTGTAAGGAGCTGCTGAGGGCACTTTGTCTGCTCAGCCTGGAGGAGACTGAGGTCAGACTTCATCACATCTACCACTTCCTCATGAGTGGAAGAGGAGGGGCAGACACTGATCTCTTCTCTGTGGTGACCAGTGACAGGACTTAAGCAAATGGCCTGAAGTTGCGTCAGGGGAGATTTAGGTGGATATCAGGAAAAAAGGCTTTTCATCCAGAGAGTAGTTGGGCACTGGAACTCCCCAGAGAAGTGGTTCTAGCACCACACCTGACAGTGATCAAGAAGCATTTGGAAAATACCCTTGGACACATAGTGTGACTCTTGGAGATGGTGCTGTGCAGGGCTAGGAAATTGGACTCAATGATCCTTGTGGGTCCCTTCCAGCTCAGCATATTCTGTGATCAGGGAAAATTTCTTAATGGAAAACATGGTCTGGCATTGGAACAAACCGCCCAGGGCAATGGTGGAGTCACCATCCCTGGAAGCATTCAAAAATGTGTGGATTTGGCACTTGGGGACAGGGTTTGCTGGTGAATGTGGCAGTGTTGGGTTAATGGTTGGACTAGATTGTGGAGAGCTTTTTCAGCCTAAATGATTCTGTGATTCTCTCTCTCCAAGCAGTCATTATATTACTTACAGTGGGTTCTTACCTGTGTGCTCTGCCTTGACGTGCTTTTGGTGAGCAGTGCTGGTGAAGGTTTTGTCACAGCAGCTGCACTGCAGGGAGGAGAACTTGGAGGACTAGTTATTCAGGGTAGTGGGTCCTGTAGTGATAACAGCCCTGACAATTGCTGCAATGACAAGGATCAAATCATGGTTACCATCCAAAGCTGTTGGTTTTAAACCGAAAGAGAGCAGGCTTAGATGGGATATGGGGAAGGAATTCTTCCCTGTGAGGGTGGGGAGGTTCTGGCACAGGTTGCCCAGAGAACCTGTGACTGCCCCATCCCTGGAAGCGTCCAAGACCAGGCTGGATGGGGCTTGGAGCAACCTGGGCTAGTGGACAGTGTCCCTGCCCATGGCAGGGAGTGGAAAAAGATGAGCTTTAAGGTTCTTTTCAACCCAATCCACTCTGACATTCTATGATTCTGTTGCAGGGACAGAATGACAGCCAGAAACCATGTGGAAAGCAACAGAATGGGAGTTATGATCAGCAGATACAAGACCTGCTTGTCCTCCCACTGGACAAGCACTAACACCTCACTCTGTTTCTCCATTGTCCCTGATGAGCTGAATGCAGCTGAATCCCTGATCCTTGTATCATTCACTGCAGGTCTCCTTTCGGTGTGAATTCTTGCTCCCTTGCAGCAATGTGGAGGTCTGCTACAACATCGTGAGCTGCCCCAGGACAGGCAAAGAGATTGGCTCCTCACACGCAACCTGCTAAAACAGCCAGGAACTGGAACAGCTTGGTTATTTTGGAGACTTTCAAATTTGTCAATAGCCCTACTTTTCCTTGATGAGCTATGTGGAAAACCAATTAGGGAAGAACTAATCAGAAAGTGGTTGTGCTCAGTGGGGCAGGAAAAATGAGCAGAGCTGTTTCTCACACATGGGGCACATGTTTCTCACACGTTTCTCTCACACAGAGCTGAAGGGAGGAAGAGGACAAGATTTCAGACTATTACTTTACTATATTGTCCAAACTTCCGTCTAAACACCCCTGCTCCCAGCAACCCTACCTGAGGCATGAGCAAACTCTCTGCCAGATGTCACATGCCATGGGGAGCCTCTTCTTTTTCTTCTTGGCCATCCCCACCATCCCGTGGACATCCAGCTGATGCTTCTCCAGCTCATTCTTTGTCGATTTGACCTCGCTACACTCTTTAGCTGGATCTGCTTTCCTCTGGCGGCCTGAGAGCATTTCATGTGCACCTTCAGGCGGCAGTAGAAGTGAAAGACTTTATCACAGGCTTTGCAACAGGCTTTGCAGACAAAACTCTTCTTGGAAGAAGCTTTGTCCTGGGATTCCTTTGCTTCTTTGGCACTAGCACCTTCTGCCTTGCCCTCATCTTTGTCCAGAACTTCAAACTGGGATTCACTGTTCACCTTCCACCTCCTGATCCCAGGTTTCTGCCTTCTTCCCTCGATCAAGAGACCTATGCAATTACTGTTTTGGAGGTGACTGGGCACCTGCCCCTAAGTCTCCCATCTCTTGAATGCTCCTACATAGTTTTCCCTGCTCAGACACAGCAGACACACATCAGACATGTCATCCCATCACAGTGGTGACACACAGCTCTGCCCAGAAGTGATTCTGGCCATGCATGGTTAGAAACATAAAGACTGATCCTTGAATTTCTCCACCACACATGCAAGGGTCTGCATGAGACGCCAAGAGCCAGGGCCAGATTTTCGTAAAAGCTTGTTTCTCAAACTCTTGCTTCCCAGCATTTGCCTCCTGCTCAGACACATGAAGTTACAGCCATGTTTGCCTGAGTCTCAGGTATGATACTGTCAAAATCTGCCACTAAGAGTGGATATCCAGCCCTTAATTACAAGAACTCTCAGCAACACTTCACAAACACAATCCCTTTGAAAAGGAACAGATAATCTTGCTACAACCCTTTTGAGTCCTCTGCTCAGGGCCCTGAGGTATTTTAAGCCACTCATTATGCTCATTTCTTAGAAAGCACAAATGCCTTCCCAAGTCCCTCTAACACCATCACCTCAAAAAGCACAAGCTGGAAAATTCACCCAGGATCCCAATCTACTGAAAAGACCCACAGGAAATGTATGTATGGGAGAAATCAAAATACAAACAGATACACTTGTCTTCTTTACTATAATGAGAACCCTGAACTGTGTGGCTGTGGTAATTGGCACAGACCTCTCCTTTTGCTACTGTACGGGAAAACTCAGCCTGTGCTTGAAAAACTTCATCTCTGCCTTCCTCACTATGGGAAGAGCTCAGCATAGTGTTCCCTTGCACAGCACCACTGCCCCAGATTTCCAACCAGCTGAAGACCAGACAACATATTTCAATGGACCTGGAAATCTTAAGACACCAAGTGGTGATCCATAATTTGCAAACACATCAAGGGAGAACAGTAGATTGGAAAACTGGTTTCCAGTCTGTCCTGTTCTGTCAAAGTCACTTTGACTTGTGACATCTAAGATTTCTTTCCACATCCCTTCAACCAACCCTGTCAGTTTTTCTGACCTAAGTGAAGAATTATTTTTCAATCTACCAGTGAGATACTAACTGTCTTTTTTTAAAAACAAGACCATGGGGAGGAAAAGCCTTTTTCATAGAGCTCTTGACACATTTCTGATATCTGAGAGTAAGACCAATCTTGACAAACATGATCTTCTAAATGATTGCAGAGAGCTCTGGAAAGCAGATGGCTAGGGAGGAGGTTATAGAGTTGGCTGAAAGAGCCAAACCCTGCCCTTGCATGCACCAGCTGCCAAGAGTGACAGTGCTCTGACTACAGCAGGGTTCAAACAAGAAGCCAAGAGATTCCATGTTGTACCTCCACCAAAGAAACCAATCCTTTACTTGCAGTGCTGAGCATGGTTGGAGATGGATGCAGTTTCTTCTGCAGGGATGCTCTGTGCCTTCCAAGGGCTTTGGTTCACCTAACTTTACCAGATTTTTTTTCAGGTTTTTTTGCAATAGAGAATCAAAAACTGTTGTTTTCCTGTGGATGTGCAAACGGAATGTATCTCCACGCAGCACATACATTCTCAGAAATGTAAGGTCTCCTCAGTTTTAACAGGAAGCTCGCACCTCCCTGACATGAGGCCTGCCATTATCACTCATATCTCATGCCAAAAGCCACAAGGTCCATAAAGTCACCTGCAATGTGTGGGCCTGGTAAGCAGTGATGTCAGAGCTGAGTAGACTGGCCTCGAAATTAAGATATGGAAATTCAGTGCAAAGATCTGTAGGATGCCAGAAAGAAGCTGGTATCTGGCAATCCTCCTCTGGACACGTCATCTAGAATAGATGTTTTTGCCAAGTAAATAACATTTTCCAGGGCTTTTGTTTTTGATGATGCTTCTTGCTTGATTTTATCTCAACCTTGGCTTGAAGCCCTGAAAAGCCACTCAGTGGCAGCAGTCTGCTCTCTTTGATACTGCTGCCAGAGAGGCAGCAGCTGCCAGAGCAGTCACATTGACTCCCCAGGCCCCTCTGCTACACATGCCGAGGTGTCCAGGAGTTCACTCGGGCTGTGCATTCACAGACACATGAATTGTTGGCTCATCTGCTCCAGAGTCATGAGGGCATCAGCCCTGGCCCACCCCATGGACACAGAGTCAGGGGGAGTGGGACAAGTGTCTGCAGCATCAGAAGGTGACAGAATCAATGGCAGATAAGAAAGAATCACCCTTTCACTAGAAATCAAAGCCATGACCAGGTGAAAATGCCAGCTGGATTGGTGGCAGCTCTTGGTATGGCTAGAAGAGAGGATGTAGATCTGAACTGGGAATGAATATTGGATTTGCAGCATAGCACCTCTTTCAGGAGACCACTGAGGCAAGGAATGGGAGTGGAGCATGTGCTGTCATCCTCCAAGCCCTACAACTACAGCAGTCATCATGTGTTGAATATAGGTAAAACCTTATAAAATAAGGGCTTTGTTACCCTTGTAAAATCATGGCTCAGACCTGCTACTTTGGCTAAGCACAAGGGGACTATGGGAAAGTGACTCAGCTGAATTGGAGGTAGAAAAACAATTTATATAACCATTATATGCTCACATTGTGGCTTATGGTGGTTGGTTGAATTATATTTGTTATACTTTAATGGAACATAACTGATAATGTCCTAACTGCTTTAAAAGGCCTGGTTTTAGCAATGAAGCAGCTCTCCTTTGCACCTGCTGCGGACTCTGCATCATGTTGCTTTGTACAATTGAGATCCTTGGTTTCTTCTACCTGTGCCCTGCTCCCAGTCACCCACTCCCACCTTCCATCCAGCAGCATTTCCTCACTGCTAGAGACCACAGGCAGGCCAACAAGCCCAGGGTTCAGAGGGTGGCCTGCCCCCAGCACATGGGAGAGAGGCTTTGCCTGTCCCTTCCACACATGAAACGATGGCAAGTGTCAAAGCCATGAGGCTTGTGCTCATTCAAAAAGACCGATGGCCTTGACCCAAATTTGCATATAAAGTAATCAAACCTTCTATCCCTAAAAAACCCAACACATTAACAGCAAACTGCTTTTTGCTCTAACTCCCCAGCAATCGGATGGCATTTCTACACCTCATGTCAGCTAAGCAGCTCTGGCACCATGAGAAAATAGGAATGGATTGGGCCTGTACTTGGCTAAAAACCCCACTGTGCCCATCCTAGAGGACTCTGCAGTCCAAATAATCTGGATATGCTGAGAAACAGATGAAAATATATATAAGCAAACAGAATAAGCAAGTCACATTTGCATCCTTTCTGGGAGAACACACACCTGCAATTACCTTCCTGACCCTCTGGTATCCTTGTATGCTTGTCATTAAAGCACCAAATTCAGTTAAGCATTTTTCCTTCAAATAATGGATGCAAAGTTACAACTGGGCTCAGCTGGAAAGCCTCCCACAGCTCAGGGCAGGACTCACATGTGGTTATTGCTCTGCATTTGTTCTGGAGTTAACAAATTGCTATCTGCATGTGTATCGTCCACAACTTTGCCAAACTAGTATAGCATGTAACACTGTCCTTCTGCTGTCAGACCCTCACAGGGAGGTATTTATCTGTAAAGTGCATACAGAGCAAGACCAAATTGAAGCATTCTAAGAAAATTAACTCAGAAAATAGTCTGGGACTACAAACTGCATTGTCATGGTCATCTTTGCACTAGAAGAGTGTGCTCTGCCATGACCTTTCCTCTGCACATCTAATCTGAATCTGCCTTCTGTCAGCTTAAGGCCATTTTGGCCTGGTCTTGTCACTGCTTACCCTTACAAAAAGTCCCTCTCCAGCCTTCCTGTAGGCCCTCCTTTTTATAAAATACCCAATAAAATATCCGGCACACTCTCACTTCAGCAAGGGGGCACTTCCAAATTTGGATGGCTTCCCCAACTTAAGCAATGACCCTTGATCTCAGGGCACATTGGGACCTGTCCACCCTTTGAGCCTCAAACCATGCCCACTATGAGAACATCCCGTCATGCCTCTTTCACTGCTTCCCTGAGCCCTGCCTACCCCAGAGCCAAGCCCTTCAGGTCCTCTCTTTGCTGGATGGCTTGCAGATCAGCTTGTGATGCCACAGGATGATCTCAATGGCTGTGTTCTCACTGATAGCCACTGAAGGTGAAAATAAAAAGCAAAGGTATTAAGAACACAAACCCAAGAGGAACCTGAAGCTGAGCTGTTAGCAGAAGTGACTTCTTCATGGCACAGAAAACTACCACATTCAAGCTCTGGTTGTACTAAGTGCAGCACTGACAGCCAGCATGAGGTACTTGCAGACCTTCCTTCTCACTGTTTGTCCAACTTCGGGCAAGAAGATCAGGTTTTCCAAAGTATGTTGCTGAAAGAGACAGTGACAACTTCAAAAGGCAAGGCATGGTTCTCCCAAGACTCAGGATTTCTTCTCTCCATGGTTATAGAGATTCCAACTTCTGCAGAGAACAGGCACTCCTAGGCACAATTTGCCTCATCTAAGGACAGACACATGATAATTGGCTGGATGCACGGGCGATCAGAGGCGCTGGTTTTTCCAGTCAGAACACAGAGGGGAGAGGAGAGTTCAGATGGAGGCACCTGGCTGCAGGTGAACCCCAGCTCTGTGCTCACAGGGCCAGCACACAAAGTCAGGCTCTGCTGCAGAGACCACCAAACTGACTACTCCTCACACTTGTGTGAGAGTTTGACAACAATTCAGAGGTATAAGCACAGTTTAGGTTTTAAAGCAGGAAAACTGAAAGCCAAGGCTATAGGGAGGACAGGATGGTGGCTGCACAGAGACCTCTGATCAGCCCTGGGCTCTCAGACTGATGTGCCTCCAGCTGACTGTTACCACAGAATGGTGGCCAGCTCTCAAAGGTTTGCTCATTATAAAACCTGCACACACAGAGCCACAAGCAAAGCATCTGTGTTTTCCAAAGTGCTTTTCCAGCTATAACTGGAAAAGTTATAGCTGGAAAACACCAAGGACATGGGTGTTGAGAGCCACTGTAAGAAAAGAGGTTACTGGCCAGGGAGGGATGAGGAGTTAGAAAGCAGCTGCTGCCAGCAGCAGGAGAAACTCAGGGAAAGAGTAGGAGGACACTTGTGAGGAAGAAAACTTCTGAGCTGGGTTGTTTCTAGATATACTTCATGAACAGTTTCAGGGATGCAGATTCCTGCACAGCCATCAGCAGCTGCCAAACAGCAGAGACAGACAAGGACTGCTGCTCCAACACTGCCAACACAAGGCAGGTGAAACCACCACCTGCTACTCACAACCTGCTCCATCACCTTGGAGAGACCCTTAGGGAGGCACTAACAGGGACCCCATCCACCTGCTTCCTGCATCACACTCAGACACAGAATCCCCGAGAACTACAGAATATTCTGACTTGAAAGGAACAAGGGCGTAACCGAGGCTCACCCAGACCCAGCCTGCCCTTGCTCCCACCTGCTGCAGACCTGGCTCACAGTGCAACTGAAGTGGTGACCACTTAGAACCCAAACACATCAGGCATTCCCTCAGCTTGCCGTGAACAAGCATCTCTCCTCAGAGCCCAAATCAGCCACTCTTAGTTGCTAATCTTCAGCTTCATATACATTACCCTGCCTCACTCCCACTACAGAATACTAAGGAATCATTAAACCAAGTCCTGCTGGAGGACTGCCCCAAACCCAGAATGGCAGGTAGTAAATCAAGTCCTTAGGAATTCCAGTATTTCCCCCCAGATGGGGATGAAAACTCTGTATCTGCTTGCATAAGTGCAGCAGTCTGTTCATCTCTCTCTCTGCTCCATGCAGCAGAGATACCCTGCAGCAGCACCTCAGCGTCTGTCAGGAGCTCCACAAAGCTCTCTCGGTATTGTCACAACACTTTGGCCCTATAATCCTCTGGGCTCCATTTGCCTGAATTCAGTGAATGGAAAAACAAACAGCTCAGCTTCCAGCACCTTCCCAAAGGGCTTCAAAAGTAGGGGAGCCAGGAAAGGTCCAGGCACCCAGTCCTCCCTAGGTCACTAATGCTCAGGGCCATATGCTCAGCACACCCAGATTCACCTTCAAGCAGAGGACGAACATGACAAATCAGAACTTCTCCAATGCAGAGACAATACAGAATATCTTCTACCCCCAAATGCAAACAGAAATGCATCTTTGGAACCCAAATGTCTCCTGAGTATCAGTCCCAGTCTGAGCCCAGAGGAAGAAAGTCTCAGTGCTCAGCAGATGAACATGTGGCCTTGTCTGTGAAGGCAGCACCGCCAACACCTCAAGATGTTTACCAGCCTCTTCTGATAGCCTGGAATCACAAAAACTGACTCTTAACCAGACTTTCATTGTAGGAGGTCTGTAAGTCAGTGTTTGATCCACTCCACCAAGAAGGAGCTTGGAAATGCCCTGGCTCATGTCCCTCTCATGCTCTTGTATGACTACCAAACACACCAACATTTTACACTCAGGTGGTCCAAGGTAATCAAGAACTCAGTTGCCCTTTGTTAAAATGTTAAAGGCACACAAACCAGACTTACGATTGCAGAGCAGCTGTAGCACTTTCTTCTCCCTCTTACACAAAAAAAAAAAAAAAAAAAAAAAAAAGAAAAAAAAAAAAGCAACTTTAACCTCATTCCTTTCTCCTATCTAATTCTAAGCTGGATCTGCTGAGTTTGCCTTGATGAATCAGAAAAGTGATGACTCCAGAGTAAAACCCCATCCCTTTAAAGACACCCCAGCATCAGGACATGATAGACTAAGTCAGGAAGAGTTTTATTCAGGATAATGAAGAGACTTGGGCAAAATCTACTGTGTCTCAAAAGTAATCTAGGATTGTACTTGTCACTTGATAAATAAAACTGGAAATTGGCAAATATATTAATCTGAAAAGGATTTTTTTACCATTGCAGTTACTAAGTTGAAGAAGATGCACAGTTATACTTCAGTGGGAGAAACCAAACCCAAAACCTGTAGTTCATCCCAGACATTCATGCATGATTTTTGTGCTTGTGTCTTTTAATCATTCTGGTTTGGTATCAGCCAGAACAATCCATCATTCCCACAGCACTACCTGGGAGAAAAGCAGGAAGCACAGCTTGGGAAAAAAAGGTAAAGTCTCTGGGACCCAGAGAATACAGTGCCATGTAAGAAGAGAAAACTCTCCGGGATGAGAAGGAAGCAATAGCAGGCTGGGGGGATATTCAGTGGAAGAGTCTGAGCTACTATGAACAGCTCCCTGAAAAAAGGCTTCTTGGAGACATCAATCTGATCCCCAGCAAAGCCAAGGGAAATTCACAGATGAAATATTTTCCTTCTTCTCCCATTGGAATGTTTCTGATTTTATGACACAAAAGTGAGTTGTTATGAATACACTCACTGCTCTGCCACCATGCCAAGGTGATCTCAAGAACCAGCACATGCCATGTGCCACAGTGCAGGACCTCCTGCTCCCTATTAGCTGGACAGCATGGGACACCAAAGGTGCCACCAGTTAATTCATCAGTTGCCAGCAGACTCAAATCATCCTCTCTCTCTTCATTTTCATCATAAGAAATATCTGTGCTTCTGTTTGTTCAAGCTGCAATTTGAGGAAATTCAGTTCTGTGTAATTAAGTAATGCTCCTCCTTGGAATGGGTATTACCACGAGATAATTAACCATGCTGGGAATCTGGTGTTTTGAGAAAGCAATCATGCTTAACAAATGACAAAGCCAAGTGCCTGTTGGGAATATTTGCTACAGAGGAAATTATCAGCATTATGAGTGCAGTTTTGCTTTCTATTAAATCCTCATTTACATTTCACTGCATGTTAATTTAGTTTTAAATTTTATATGACTTCTGGGTCTCTTGATCTGAATTGTTCAGGGTGTGCCTAAACCCACCTAAACTTGGAAGGTTGTCCCACCAGGCAAAAGATGGGGGCTCCTGAGTCCCTGAGCCATCACAGGCAGGCAGCAAATAATAAAATCCCACCAAAATGAGTAAGAGGAGTCATCCAACAGAATGATGTGTAATGGGGACGCTAAGTGTAGGATTCCCATCAGCACACTCTGCTCCACACAGGAGACCATGAGTCAGTGACCAACACAAGCAGAAATGCTACCTGGATCGAGGAAAGAAGCACAGGCCAAATAAATTTTCAACCCCATCTTCCTCAATCACAAGGAATTCCAAGTAAGACACTGTATTTAACGTCAAGACATCTCCAGCTTAAGGGAAGTTTTAGGTATTTGTTTTCAAAGGCAGTCACTACCATACAGTAAAGTCACCAGTGGAAGTTTAGTTTACTCCTACCTTTACCATCAGAGACGTTTGCTCTTGCCACCAAGTTGTCTGGCAGAAGCTGGAGTCCAGGGAAGGATGCTTTCACAGCCTCCAGAAGATTCCACTTCCAGGGTTTTCTCTTCATCCACCTTCCTGATCAGATTGTCCATGGCTTCCCTCTGAGAGCTGCCTTCACAGCCATCCAAAGCTACCTGTAATAAAGAAACAGCCACAAAACACATGACAGCCTCCTACGAACTCTTGGATCTGAACAGAGATAGAAAAACAGCAACAGTACCACAATACTGCACTGGATCCCTACCCACTGGTTACACAATTTAACTGGAAGGGGTTGTAGGGTGGCAGTTACAGAACACCCAAACATGGCCAAGGCGTAACAGACGTGACACCTTGAAAACAAACCTGGTGGGTTCTTCCACCAAGTCTAGCTCTTGGAAGTGGCTGACAAGCAAAAACTACTTTAAAAAAAACCCAAAAGTAAACTTAAAGAGAGTGTTCAAAACAACATTTCAAGTAATATTTTTAGCGAATACTTTTTAACTGTCAGTCTTGTTTCACTTGTCTCTGCAATTTTTCTGCTTGCCATCAAAAAATTGATGGCCAGAAGAAAATACTCGTATTATTTAAATAAGCACCTATTAACTGAATTATTATTTCTGTGACAAGGCCACGTGAAACATTTCTTATGTGAGATGCAACCGCAGTAGTTTGGAAAAGCTCTACGATGGCAGTAAAATAACTAGAAGGCTCCTACAAGGGAGAGGCACTTGTCAAATACAGGCTGACCTCCTTTCCACCAGCACTGTGCTCCTGAGCAGAACCTCTGCAGGACACCAGCCCAGTTCCTGGATGTCAATAAGCACTACAGAGTCCTATCAATAAAATGATTAATATCTGTCCTAAAACTAGTTACATTTTTGCTCCCTTTCCCCTGGTTGGTAAGCTATTCCACAGCCTCATTCCCCTGCTGATTTTTCTAATTTTCGGCTGAAATTTATTCATGGCCAGTGTATGTCTGTTCATGTGCCAATATTATCTTTTAGCTTTAAAAGCCTTTTAAACTCTCTGAGGTGTTTACCCTACCCTTCCTCTTTGATTTCATTATAAGAGCATGATCATATTCCCTCTCAGTCTTCATTCCCCTTGTCTTAAGGCAACTCCTCTTATGAAACAGCTTCTACACCCCCCTGGACTTCCCACTGCAGATCTGTCAAGTTCCAGTATGAATTCACCTTTATTGAACCGGACTGGAATAGAAGTTTTCGATGAGGTCTTTACTCTTAGTTCTTATTACTGCACCCAACGCACACCCTTCACATCATACCGCCACATCAGTCAGTTCTCACTACTCAGCTCTCCAGCCATGGAACTGGAGAACTGGATTAATGGAATATAGAATCCTAGAATCATTTAGGCTGGAAAAGCCCTCTAGGATCATCAAGATCAGCCATCAACTAGCACCACCACCATGTTCACCACTAACCCATGTCCTCAAGTTACCACATCCACATATCTTTTAAACCTCTCCATGGATGGTGACTCCACTATCCCTGCCTTGGGCAGCCTATGCCAGTCTTTGATAACCTTCACAGTGAAGAAAATTTTCCTAATATCCAATAAACCTCTCCTGGCACAACTTGAGGCTATTTCATCTTATCCTGTTACTTGTTACATGGGAGAAGAAACCAACTCCCACCTGGCTTGGACCTCCTTTCAGGGAGTTACAGAGAGTGAGAAGGTCCCTCCGGAGCCTCCTTTTCTCCAGGCTGAGCTGCCCCAACTCCTTCAGCCACTCCTTGTGTTCCTTCTCTGGACACTTCAGCTCTTGAGTGACTTTTTTGTTATGAGGGGCCCAAAACTGAACACAGTTCATTCTTGTCTCTCTTGCAAATCCTCCTCTATGTAGGCAAAAGATTTTGATTGTGCTCATCATCAAGATTTGCTAAACATGCCTTGGTATTTTTGTGTCCATAAGATCAGTGTTAATATTAAGTATCAAGAATCCCACTAATGACCTTGCTACAAGTTGTGAGTCCTGCCTTCAGCACAACCTGCAGATGTTTACCAAAGAAATGCATCCTTTTTAGCATCACTGTTTCTCCTAGTTTAACAATTTCCGTACATGAAACTGAAATGCTTTGCTCTAGATCTAGACCAAGGCAGGAAAGAAAACCCCATTTTTACCTCATCAAATAAAGAACCCAGGTCAAGCAGAAGCAATTTAGTGAACACCTGAGAGGGACCAATCTGATTTTTATTTATGCCTCAACATATGTTATGTTCTTATAGAGGCTGTACATGCGCTTGCAACCCTGTCCCCAGGAAGGCTTCGCCTGGCAGCCAGTCAAGGTCGGACTGTCAGTGACACCGCCCCCGCCACTTCGCCAGCGGGGCAAATGCCGGGAAGGGTGTCGGTGAAGGATGCTCAGGAAATGAGACTGTGGGAGGAACGGCAACACAACAGGACCCATTTTCTTTGGGTATCTTGGAGGGAGCGGGGGTTTGCCTGTAGGGTCCGCTCAGCCCTTCTCCCTCCTTCTCGCCTTTTCCTCCCTGTGGTCCTGCTTCCCTGCTTCACCGTTCCCGAAAAACCAGGGCTTGTCATCGCGACGGCCTCGTGCTCTGCTGCCTCCCCAGTGAAGCAGGAGCTGCTGCAGCCAGCTGGCGCTCATGCCTCCCGGGCCCAGCCTGCCCGCAGCCGCGCCCGCAGCCGCCTCCCGCAGCACCGGTCCGCTTGCCGCTGTGTTTCGTGCGCTGCCGCCGCAGCACAGCCCGGCACTGCGGTGAGCGGCCTGTCGCCGCCGCCTCACCCAGCCGCAGCCATCGCCCACGGCCGCCGCGCCCCGACCCTGAAAACCCGTGGCTGCTCCAGGGGGGTGCCCGTGGCCACGGCAGCCCCTTCTCCCCGACGGAAGGAACAAGCAGTCTGCTGCTGCTGCTCGAAATTCATGCCCAGCCCACCACAGGAGCTACGGAGACGCAACGCGGTTCACAGCACACACGCTCTGCCTGCTAAGCTGATGCCGACAGACCACCTGGCTTCTTGTGGTAACGCTGTCCCTGTCTTCTGTTTCTTTCTCCTTCTTTCTTATCCTCTCTCTGCTCCTTTTCCTATCCGCCTTACTAGGAACACTTAACCTTTTTTATCAATAAACAATTCTTCGATATACTGCTGCATTTGTATTTTATTTTTGTCCAAGAAATCTATCAGAAGAATCCTCCCCCTTTTATAGCAGAACAGGATGACACCCTTTACTGCATTTGCTCCCTTTTTTTTTCTTTTTTTTTTCCTTACAAGTTTGACCTGTATGTGCTCTCCTGCCTGTCCCAAAGAGATCAGATCACTGCCTTTCTCTCCAAAATGTCTGGTCCTGCTCATCAACTGTCGGGACCACTCTTAGCTTGGAGAATAATAAGTAAGCAGCCTTCTGTCACTTGCATGACACGGGTGTCAGTTCTTCTCATCTGTTCACAGAATCACAAAATAGTTATGGTTGGAAGCGACCTCTGGAGATCATATAGTACAACCCCCCTGCCATGGCAGGATCACCCAAAGCAGGTGACACAGGAACTCATCCAGGGGGATTTGGATTGTCTCCAGAGAGAGACTCCACACCCTCCCTGGGCAGCCTGTTACAGTTGTCTGCCATTCTCAATGAAAAGAAGTTCTTCCTCATGTTGAGGTGGAGCTTCTTATGTTTTATTTTATGGCCATTGCTTCTTGTTCTGCCACTGGGCACCGCTGAACAATCTGGCACCATCCTCCTGGCAACCTCCCTTTGAGATATTTGTATGCATTAATGATCCATTCTCCGTCTTCTACAGACTATCCAGGTCTCTCCTAAAAAGAGAAATGTTGCAGGCCACTCATCACCTTTGTAGCTTCTGCTGGACCCCCTCCAGTAGCCCCTTGTCCTTCTTGGGCAGAACTGGACACAGCACTCCACGTGCTCCTCACCAGGGACAAGTGGAAGGGCAGGATGACCTCCCTTGACCTCCTGGTCACAGTCTTCCCAATGACCCCCAGGTTCCCACTGGCCCTCCTGGCTGAGAGGACACACTGCTAGCTCATGGACAGCTTGTCACCCACCAAGATTCCCAGGGCCTTTTCAGCAGAGCTGCTCTCCAGTAATTCAGCCCCCAAACTGTTCTGGTACTGGGGATTATCCCTCCCTAGATGCAGGACCCTACACTTGCCATTACTGAACCTCATTTGGTTTCTCTCCACACAGTTCTTCAGCTTATCAAGGTCCTGCTGAATGGCAGCTCAGCCTTCAGGTATATCTGTCACTCCCTCCAGTTCTGTATGATCAGCAAACCTGCTCGGGGCCCATTCTATCCCTTCATACAAGGCAGTGATAAATAAGTTGAATAAGTGTTGATCCCTGGAGAACACCACTCACTACAGACTCTCAGCTGGATTCTATTCCACTGTTCACAACCCTCTGCCATTCAGCCAGTTCTTTATCCATCTCACTGTCCATTTATCTAAACCACGTTGCCTGAGCATACCTTCGAGGATGTTGCGGGAGACTGTATCAAAAGCCTTGATGAAGCTGAGGAAGACACCATCCACTGCTCTCCCCTTGTCAACCCATCCTGCCTTGCCATCATAGAAGGCTTTCAGATTGGTCCTAATGGATTGTTGAGAGATGTCATTTGAGTTGTGATTTTCCTTCACATGCAGGAAATGTGTGTTTCTGTGTTTCTCCTAGATCAGGCTCCAGGCTAAGCCATGAATGTGCAGGTCATCTCCTCTCCTTATTTTTTTTTTGGTCAGACAGTATCTGCTGTGATGCCCAGCAGCCTGATGTGCCACAAGCCTCTCCATAGCTCCACAGTACATTTGTTTGCCTGTCAGACATTTCAGCCATTCCCTGAACGTCCTAAAGCTCTTCCTCAAGTTATTCACTCACTCAGGTATATAACCTCTCATATAAGATCCTCTCTCTCATTCAGGATGCAAACGTCAGACAGTTCCCCTACCTTAAACATAAAAGAAACTAATCCAACAGCTCCTCCTGTGCTCTAATGAGCACCTGAACTCCTTAATTAGTTTCTCTCATTTCTAAAGATCTGTCCTTTTATAGACCAAACTCTGCTAGTGAACCTGCTGATGTGATTTCCCCTTCAATTCACACCAACCTACCTCTAAATCTCTTAGTCTGAAGTCCTCTTCTGAGAAAACACAAGAAGAGGTACAAGAGCAGCATCCTTTGGGGAGCTTTTGCAGTAACCTACCACTACTCCCAAACAGAAGAGATGTCCCTAGCAGTGGGAGATGCAGTGGTGATATTATAAGACTTATTTTGACATCACCAGGTGAGACAATTAGAAAACATCCCCCAATTCTGCTTGCAGTAGGATTTTTCCATCCCCAGTGTACCCAGTTAAGATTCCTGCAGTGGCCAACAACCTGCTTGTACTATCCCTAATACCTGCCTGAGCTCTGAAGCAGCTTGGTTTGATCATCAAGGTCTGCAGGCACTGGAGTCAAAAGGGAGAGAAACCACATAGCTCAGAATACCCAGGTGCCTTCTAGAAGAGAGCCTAAACAGAAGGAAAGGGCTGATGTTTCTACTACCTTCTCTAACACTCTGACTTTCTGGGTTCAGTGCTGTGTTGTGGACTGATCACTCTGAACTCTGAAACTACCTAAGCGGTGTGGTGCACCATGCAGGAGAAGTTATCCACTCTTCCTCTGTATCCACTTCATTTCTCTTAAGTGATAACCTGTATTCAAATCCTCTACCCCTTCCCAATTACAGAAACACCAAAAAAACCACAGAAGTTAAGTACACAAAAAAGAGAAAGGCGAGATTCAAAAGTTATCCAGAAAAAACAGAGATTGACAAAGATGCTTCGCGAAACATCACGTACTGGTTTTCCAGCAAAGAAAATCAAACTTGTTCCATTGCACAGCTCAGACCAGGTACAGAAAGAACCCAGTTGCCATGAAAAAAGTCTCTTCCATGAGAAACTCGTACTTGTCTTGCTGAATAAGTGTGTAGCTAATGACACACGACAGTGGGAAGAAAAACTAAAGCCTCATCTTTATGAACCTCTGGAGAACTAGATTCCATCCCTGCCAGCCTAGAGTTCCAGTGCAACACTGGATGAACCAGATAAGACAAAACCTTCAGAGGTGGCTGCTAATTCCATGTTTGCTTTCCCAGTCCTACACCTGAGACACGGGGGATCCCACCTGCATACATGCCATGGGCCCATCATTTTAATCAGTTTAACTTCTGGAATAATTAAACACTTTCCCACTTGTCTGGGGGAGGAGTGGAATTAAACAAATAAACCCCCCCAAGGTCAGTCTACACTTGACAATTTCCTATTGTTTTCTTGTACTGCAGGAGGGCAGAGCTCTGCCCACAGCCTCACTGGAGTGCTCCCCAAATAGATCTGTTATTTGATAGAAACTGTGGGCTGAACCAAGAGTATGAAGGGATCCCATACAGAGGAGTAGGATTTCATATTTGGAGCAGGGTTTGGGGGCTCTGTAGCAAACGGAGCACACAGTGACTGGCAAGGATGAAAAGTGTTATGAATAAAAAAGTTATCTATT